CACACACACACATATGCACACAATAACACACACCACCACACACTTGGATTCCACATGCCCTCTCGTGACCCCAATAAAAGAGACCATCACATCAGTGAGAGCCTGGGGGAAGGATTTTACTGTTGCACGCTTTACAAGGCGTAACTCATAAAATCTTCCCTCCTCTTGAGAGCCTTTTTCCTTCCCTTGTGTGAGAGCGAGTGAGTAAATAAGCGGTGTACACAGTCCATGAGGCCACAGAGTGTCAGTTCCTTCACATAGTAGGATAAATCGTCCTTTACTTTCCTCGTTGAAAATCATCGAAAGAGAGGGGGCGAACATGGATGCAGATTATAAAGCTCCACTCACCAGCCACAAAATTCAGGACACCTGCATAATCAAATGAAATCCAATACAAGCGCTGCATCGGAAACGCTGCCTTTAGTCAGATAACGAGAAATGCATGCACAGTAATGTATCCCATCAGGCATTTTTGTTTGATCAAATCAGACATATTGTGCAATTGTCCATAAATTAAAACAGTTCCCACATGTCTTTACACACTTTTGTCAAGGGGAAGTCACCCCCTCCCATCCCCAACTTTCTTTAGCATAATATGTTCTATGCAGCCCCACTCGTCTAAACAAGACATTCTGATTCATATTGCACATGTGGAAAATGAGTGTAGCAGCAAAATCCACCCTGTTTTCGTCCATCTCACGGAGCGGCCATTTTGCTTGTTGCTCTCGACTGAAAATCACGAATGCTCATAGCTCAGATAACGACCAGTGACTGACTGGTCATAGAAACACAAATTCAGCAAGCGTATGTAAACCAGCAGATTTGTCTTCTTCTGAGTCTTTTCACCGAAATAAAATCGAGTGCACGCACACCATTAGGAATCCATAGCATCTACCATGTATCTCATAACAATCAATCTAAGTGGTGACAAAAGGACTAAATGGTCCTGAGAGTTTTACCATGTTCAAACCAGAGTGAGGCAAAGTTGTGCTTGCTTGTGTGTGTGGTTTTTTTTTTTAAACCTACATGCAGTATCCTCAAAGGATCCTTGGCCTACTTCCATAGGGTTATGGATCAATACAGCATGTCCATGCGCCACAGCCAATTTCATGCAGACATGCTTTGTTGATGAGAGAGCACAAAGCTAATGGATTCTTTGTTGTGGTTAGTGAAAAAAGACGAGCTGGGGAGACAACATAAATATCTCCTCACACATCCCTTCATCCCTCGTTCAAAATGGACATCCCCTCCGTCCTTCCCATGTGTCATCGCTCTTTCACGGCACTCTGAACTAATGGCTCTCCCAGTTATCTACTTGATAGTTTCACCTTTCATCTCTTGTTGCACATGCTGTAAGGGCATTACACAAATTAACTTTACTTTCAAGGACATTTGAAAGACGTGCTTTATGGAACGGGTCAATCCCGTCTGAAGACGTGTTTGATCGCCTGGCTCAAATTTAAGGGGGAACCTCTGAGTTTTTCATTTGGATTTGCAATATATCTTGAATGAACGAACTTTTCTGTCATACCTCGGACATTTTATATAAATGTGTGTATGTGTGTATCTATATCTTTCAGTCATTATGGTTTCACGTGTATTAACAACAGGAAAAATGATGATCAAAGCATACCTGGATATGTTTTTTTTAATGAGAAAAAAAACTAACAACACAAATATAAGGATGTCTGTGCGTATGTAAACGTATGTGTGCAATGTTGCGCGTGTGTCAATAAAATGATCCACCTCTGTCAGCGCTGAGTACATGAATATTTCATCTACAAGCTGGAATACAGCACTCTCATAACAGACTCATTCATTCATTTAAAGGCATGAGCGCGCGTGCGCACACACACACACACACACACACACACACACACACACACACACACACACAGAAAATGAACACACAAACGCACTCACTCACACATGCGCACGCACGCGCACAATTGGCTGCCTGAGAGGGATCACCACTGCTATTAAAAATTGATTAGCTGTCATCGTATCATCTTTCCCCCCAAGGTCAAATCTCAAGCCGCGTGTGCATGCAAAATGTGGAGTGCATAGATGAGATGAGATCAAAAAATACATTTGCTTCTGTCCTCGAGTTATTGAAATCACTGAGAAATTGAGATGAGCATGGATGAAAGGATGACCGGGAGAGAGCTTGAGGATAAGCAAAGTTTAACCCTTTAGCTTTTTGTTCCCTCCAGCTTTAATTCCCCATCACTGACTTTTACATTTGTATTGCCCTGCACCTGCTTGTTCTTGTTGTTTATGAGTATCAAGATTTGATACTCATAGATTTGAGATTTGAACCCTGATAACTGTGAGGTTTGCCACCGCAAACCAAAACCACAATAACAAACATAAATGGTAAGACTCTTTTGGACATGTTATCCAAAATTACATGTATTTTTGTCCCTGTTGATTAACACTTACTTTTGGGGTATTTTATCTCATATCAAATTCATCAATGTATAAAAAACAAGAAAAAGTAGAATGGATCAAATTTTTCCCCAAATTTTTTGACCATCATCGTCATGCCAGTCCATCACTTTGCTAAGTGTTCATTTTGTATTACTTAATTTCCTCACCTGAAACACGGTCGCCCTTGTGCTCCTCAATGAGAGGCTCCCAGCTGTTTGATTTAATTACGGTGAAGTGAGGAGGCACTGACGACCGATAGGACAGCATGGAGCGTAACAATACCACAAGGGAAGGTGAGATACACGGCGCCACTCAGGGAACGTCCTCCAGAGGGATTTGGATTAATTTGACATCTTTGGACAGAAGCAGGCATCGGCGGCTTGTAACACACATGCGTGTGCGCACAACCACACACATGACCAGCGCAGGCTGATTTCCCCCGGCTTTAAGGGTGACGTCTCAATCTGTTTTCTGTCATATTAACACCGGGCCTGCAAACTAAGCGTGTAGTGCAGAATGTACCTCGTGGCCTTCCACTGGGAGATTTGCTGCTCATCGGATATGTTTTATTGTATAATGTCATCCTACGAAAAGTGGCACTGCAAGGTGCAGGGTCGCATGTGTGCAAATGCCATTGCAGCAGGGGGAGCCGACCCCCCACTGCTCATGACATTTTTCCTGGAGAAATGTCACCCCGGTCATTTTCATCCCCACATTTGTGCGAGTGCATGTGTGTATTTGATTAGCTCTCGGCAAGATCTGATTGATTTTGTAGAACCCAAGCTTGTTATGTTGGGAAATAGCATGATATGGGGCTGGGTGAACTTCACAACAATTTCCAATCAACATCACGGCAGTGAGGTCTGCTGATACAGGAAATTGCAGAATAACCACAAGCGAGCAGAAATTGAGTCGAAATCAGGGTGTGAATTAGAGCATGTTTTGATCAAAGTCAGGGTAGATTGAGCACAACAGCCTTGAAAACAAATGTGGCCTAGCAACACTGAGATGCAACTGAACAGTGGTGCTGTGTATGCGGTTGTGCAATCCGTTTTCATGAGTTGTTGACCAATTGCAACTAGTTTTCCTCGCCTCTCAAACAAATTCAGCAGGGTTAGGCTCAAACGCAAACACAATTCTAATGTGGAAAAGTGCGATAGAAAATAGATGGATGCATGGACGGATTATTGTGAAGACTAGAAAGAAGCAACAAGAAGAGCCGGTTTTGGATCAATTAAGAGACTATGAGACTCCGTGTGTGTGTGTGTGTGTGTGGGGGAGGGGGGTCTTCCTGATAGCTGAGGAGACATCTGTCACTTCCATATGGAGATAAAATCAGATGGGAACTCAAAAGCGAACCTTAATTGATTCCACAAAAAAAATTATGTCTTCATTTGACAGTGAAAATGTCATTTTAAAGCCTAATTTTGCTTTGAGGCAGCAGGGTGACTGAACTCAAAATAACCCCCACAGACGCTGTGATCTGCAGGAGTGTCTTTGATTGATGATGACTTTTTGCTTGTTAATGCTAAGACACATTACACACTGCAACTGGTCTCTTTCTTGCCGCGTCACATGACAGTTGGATTTTGGCCTGTTTGACTGCCATTTCTCCACTCTCCTCCTGTTTTGCAGAAATGGAGGATTAGGAAGTCAGACTTGTTTGTTTCCGTTTTTGTTTTAGGATGGAAATGTGTGGGTTCTACGTTTAGGCCGCCCTCTTTACGTCTATATCACAGTAGTTGGTGTCCGTGCCACGTCTGTTTGGTTTGCTCAAACATATTTATTTTGTCATTCCGAAACACACACGTGGATGAACACTCAGTGAGCCCAAAACGGTGGAGGGGGGAGGAGCACCAAAAGCTCATTACATGGACAATCGATATTGCACACACTTCAGTAGCATGAACGCCTCCAACCACAGCCACAGCACGTATACACACACACACACACACACACACACACACACACACACACACACACACACATTTCATCAAGTATTGGCTAGCGTGACAGATGACTTTTGCCACCTTGAGATGTGTTACCATGGTAACCATTAGGCATATTTTGGGGAAAAAACAGCAGAGGTGATACAGAAGAAAAGTATCCAGATTAACTTCACGATTGTGATAAATTTGGTACTGACGTGCACTCATTCTGATTTATAGAACTACTAGACATCAAACTTCAGACATAAAAAAGTACAAAAAAGAAAACTCATTTTCAAATAATTCTTCAAATTTAAAAAAAATGAGTACTTATGATTATTTTTAGTGAATGAGAATGATCAAGAAATAACTTACCTTTCCTAGACCAGGTGTGTCTTTGATCTTATTGGCTGCACGGAGAAGGCAGGGCGGAGCCGGGGGTGGGGCTGACAGAAGGGCGGAGCTGAAATTGGTGGGGAACAATTGACTGTCGCATGTCGGCGCCGATGTAGTCACGGGCAGCGGCACTGTCGCGGCAGCCTTCAACTTCCGCTTCTTGGATGTCAGATTCAGTTTTTGTGCAGCTCTGACATGGAAACAACAGACGAAAGGCAGCGGATATGAATGATATCGAGTCGTTCAAACCATAATTTATGTTTTCTGTGGATGAAGATCTGCTCGCGATCAGAGACCTACAATTGTATCCTTCAAGTTGGAGAGAAATGCTAATTGTAGACTGGAGCTGCACGTACACGCACACGCCAAGCACACACACGCGCGCACACACGCCGTTGTTGACATAAGTAGTAACATCTGGATGGGGAGTGGCTCATTTGCTTTCTTGTTGCTCGATTCCCTGCGGCGTTCTGCTCAAAGGGAGCCACGAAAATTGATATTTATATTTCTGCTGCATCTATGCCCGAATCAGGCGCTCTCCTTTGTTCTCTCTTTTTAACTTCCACTTCTCAATCCCTCCTTCTTCCCCTCTGTCATTTTTAGCTTCTAGACTATTCCTCCCCAACAGAGCACAATCAGGAATGATCATAAAAGGTGGGATTTTATTGCAAAGGCAGCACAGTGGTACAGTGGTTCGCATATTGGCAACACAATTCTAAGGTTCTGAATTGGACTCTCAGCTTGCGAATGTGATTGTGCATGGTTGTCTGACTGTGTTTTGTGCCCTGCAATTGGCTGGCAAATTGTCTGGCGTGTACCCCGCCTGGCGCCAAAAGTCAGCCTGAATAGAATAGAATAATGCCAGCTCACCTGCAGCGCTAAGAATCGTGAGAGAAAATTGATGGATTGACTTTTACAGTCATATCATGTATTTGTTTCTTGTACAGCTTCACAAATGACCACTCAGATATTTACATTAGGTTTGCACAATGTGAGAAAAACTTGATATGCGATATGGGTTGTGAATATTGCGATACTGATATTGCAATATTTAACATATACTGAATCATAGGCGCTCATTTTGTGTTCGTGATACCCCGAAATACTGTTCTGTTGGAATGGCGACGCACAACTGAGGTTGCATCTGATTGGTCAAAGTCAGATAAAAGCTTACAATTCCATACTGTTGTACATCTTTGCACTAGAGTCTAGTGGTTCTTAACCTTGTTAGAGGTACCAAACCCAACCAGTTCATGTGCACATTCACCGAACCATTCATTTGTGAAAAATAAAAATATAATTTTTTTTTTACAAATTCAAGACATAAAAAAACACATTTATTAAAAATAGAAAAAAAAACATCAATACAATTTCAAGTTTTTTTTAAATTGTGCACACAATGAAACAGCCAGTGATGGCCAAGCAGGCATGTCACAACGAATTGACATGTTGAGTCGAGTGTTTCTTAACCTCCATGGCAGAGGCTCCGTCGAACCCCTGAGACCGATTCACCGAACCCCTCGGGTTCGATCGAACCCGGGTTAAAAACCACTGCACTAGATATATTGCATATATATATATATATATATATATATATTGTGCAATTAATTTCATGATTTTTATATTTACTTATGCAGCGAATTAACTGAATTCAATTAAACTTTTCAAGCACAGCCTCGGAGGAAGAATGAGACTTAATCGAAAAATGAAAAAGTAATTTATGAATTAGTGGGGATTAATTGACAAAAAAAGCCGAATATTAACATTATTATGGAGTAAATGAGCTCTGAGGGTGTCTGAATCCTGCGGTTTGTCATTCTTCAGATATTAACGTGAGGGTAGAGCGAGAGAGAGGACCTCGTGCCCTCGCGCACACTCGGTCAAAGAGCTATATCTCACACCATTGGCTTTCAATTAAGTGCGGCGGGTTACTGGGATGAGCGCAAGGTAGAGAGGAGGTGGGCAGGTGGATATAGTGTGGCAATAATGGTGAGACGGTACTAGAGGAGCAATGGAATGAGCAATGTGGAATGGGAATTGAATCTTGGTCATTTCAAGCGTTATTTTCTTCAACACCCTTCAGAAAGTGCATCGTTTTGGACACAGAGTCAACCTTCTGTTCGAACAGTATGCAAGCAAAATTCACACAATGAAATATAGTATAGAATACATCAATGCATTAGCTAAGGCGATTGTGGGGGGGCTGGAGATATGCAGGGGCAAGTGGGCGCAAACTGGCATTCTGTTTCCTCCCACGGGGCTCAACAACCACAGGATTATGAGCCAGCCAATCAGCGAGGTGCACTTTACGTCTCAGAGGCGTCATTGCAGCATTTGACCAATCAACAGTGCTCAACGGGCATGCTGTGCTTCCTCATTTTTTTCAAAGCCCGGAAAATTCACATTTTTTTTTCTTATTTATTTAATCATGTGTCGTGGCACTCTCGCCTGACTTGTGCGCGGGCAGTGTGGGATCGGTTCCCACTCAGTGAAGGTGTGTATGTGGGTGTGAATGGTTGTTTGTATCGATATTTGCCCTGCGACTGACTGGGTGTAATATGCCATCCGCCCAAAGTCAGTCGGGATAGGCTCCAGCAACTCTCCGCAACCCTGTTCAGGATAAACGGTTTTGGAAATGGATAGATGGTTTTTACATTGATGCTTTAACGCATGAAAAAGAACCATCTTATTCTGACTTCATTTAGTCTATAAAAACAGAACTAGTTTGTTCTGCTGCACTTTTTTTATGCTAGAATATTTAGAGACGTAGCTTCTTCTCATAGCAAGGTATTTTCTTTTTTTACATTTTGGAATCGATAAAGATCAGCTGGTTTTCACATGAAATCCAACAAAACAGCATTCTATTGTGTTTGTTTGGGGCGGGGGGGTTACATTTAATTAGTAGAGGTTTACAACAAAGAGTAGAAAAGAATTGTGTCGTTCAAAAAAAAAGCAATACGGTCACTTTGTCGCGAATCATCTTATATCGACGCGCATCGTATCGTTAAACCCCCACAGCCTGTCCAGACCGACCTGTGGCAATGGACATTAATGTGGACACATTTAATAATATTGGGCCCAGGTTCAAATACACCATGAGCCTTTGCGAATTTTTTCACTGGCATAAAATGTACAGTTTTACACAGTATATTGGTGCGAAGTTGAATGTTACAGGAACTCTGCTGCACTATGACGGGCATGCAGCCACAGTACTTTTGAATCCCTTTTATGTCAAGGCATCACTCTACTATAATCCCCTGATCAAATCCATCAGTTTGACAAATAGTCATAAAATATGCTGTGAGCGTGCGTGTGGGTGTGTTTTCTGTCTAGTGTACACACACAGCACATCTAATTGGCAGCGTTTAATGACAAGTGGCCTGGGATTTGGCTGAGTGGATCTATTCCAATCTAACTCTAAAATGAAGGGCACTTGTTTTCCATCTATCGACTGCCTCGCCCCATCCATCAGCACCTCCTCCGTCAGCTCGCCTCCATCCTTTTCATATATAACCCTCCTTCCTCCATTCCCTTTGTTCATTCCTCCACGCGTCTCCATCCTTGACTTCTCGTTTCAGTCCCTCTCACGTCGCAATCAACGAGCAGATCTGCCCCCTGCATTTTAATCCTCTTTCCCCAATTATTCTTTATCGTCTAGCGGCTGCTCTCGTCTCTCTTCCCCTCAGTGACTCTTGCACCTTCGGTGCAACCAGTCTGCAAAAATATTAAAACGTCACGCTCAAGTTGAATTTGCAAGTTAAAATTCACTTGCTGCATCCCTAAAATAAAGAATGGTTTAGGTTAATGTTACAAATTCCTTCATGTTAGGCAGTCGATACATGGTTAGGGTTAGATAACAAATATGCGACAAATGTTCGATTTTCTTTCTTTTTTTTTCTTTTTTTTTTTTAAATCAAAAATTGCAAATGGAAATAGTTTTGAGGAATATTGTTGGCCAGCCAGACTGACTTACCATTAGAGACATGCATGGGAGGCATAATATGCAGGTCAGGTACATACCACTGTAAACTACAACATTTACATGGCAATAATAATAATAATAATAATAATAATAATAACACATTAAAACGTGTATGAAATTGACAATCAAAAGAGAGCTTTCTTATCGGCGAAAAGGTAGATTTTTTTTTTTGACCTGGCTCTTGCATTGAGTCTTATTATAATGAGCAGTTGATCAAAGATGATGACGTTGAGGAACTAAAAGCCATTTCTTCGATTTTCTGTCTTCAACAGTGTGTGTCAATCTCAGCTAAATTCACTACCAAGTGTCATTTAGTTATTAAAGAGGCATGACAGTAAGAAGAGAACGCCTCCGCCTCACTATTAGCCCTTCTCCTTCCAAAAAAACAACACCTTTCCAATTCTCCAAGTCACTTGGGACCAATTCATTTACCCTAGTCCCTCCGGCGGCGCATGCATACTGACCACACAAATCCCAAAAGAAGCAATCGCCAGAGCATGCAGTAAAAAATTCCTGCACTGACAGAAACTCCCTTCCCCCAGTAGGAACACACACACACACACACACACACACACACACACACACACACACACACACACACACACACACACACACACACGCAGATGCGCGCGCACATGCACACACACACCTAGCAAGTACAGCACGTCTCCATCTTTTTAACCAACGTCCCCAGAGGGCCACTGCAACAAGGGGGGGCTGACGACAGAGCACCACCGCGGTGTGAGACTGACATACTGTATTCATGGAGCCATTCGCAGTAATGAAAGATATTAGTCACACATGCATTAATGGCGGCATTGAGGATGGAGAAGGTCAGTGTGAAGTCAGAAGAGAAAAGAACCAAGGAATGAAAAAGAGAGAAATGAATCAGGGCTGGACAATGGCATCGAGCAAGGAAATGGACATAGGGATTTGGCGCGCGCGTGCGTGTGTGTGTGTGTCCACGCGCGGGCATGTGCGTGTGTCTAATCGGGGTGTCTGCATGCGGTCCACGTCTAAGGGTGAAGAGCGCAGCAACCCTGGGATTTAGCAGCCCTGCATGGCTGCATCTACCATAAACACGTGTAGAAAAACAGCAAAAAGGACTGCGTAAACAGTTTTGTGTTCACAATTACCCATGTGACACTCTCTCTCTCTCTCTCTCTCTCTCTCTCTCTCTACCTCTCGCTCGCTGTCTCTGTTTTTTTTTTTTAATTCCGAGAAAAATGGACACCTAACTTTATAATAACAATGAGACTGTTTCACCAATCACATGAATGACAAGTTGGTCCTCACTGGGCCAGTGTGGTGGGTGACTCTTGAGGACATCAGGAAAACGTTTTACAACTGACATCAGCTCGCAAAACACGTCTGGAGGTTTCTGCAAACATGAATACATTTAATAATCTGCATCTCCGGGCAAAAGTAAACACACACACACACACACACACACACACACACACACACACACACACACACACACACGCGCACAGGTGTCTGATGTGTGAAGCAAATGGTGTGTTCCTGTGAAGGTCACATACGGAACAAAGGAACCACTTTGTCCCTTTTGACATCTTAAAAAGAAACCGTCACAAACTACACCATCCAATTATTCGACAACAAAGAGAAAGCCAAATACACCACAACACGCTTAACCCCTGCAGCATGAAAACTAACTACAGTATATGTTGTTTCAGTGTAGACGTTAATGCTTGTAAGGGAGCCCAAAGACAGCAGGTTGTGCGTGCTTGGAATGTCAGCCAGATGTGGGTCTGACCTTACGTGCCTGGTTGCTTCCCAGTTCAAAGGTGACAGAAGGAAAACGAAAAAGACAGCATGATTACGTGTTTGTCTGAGTTCTGCTTGAATTTACAAGCTGATCGTGACACTTTGAGGGTTAAGAAAGTAACAGCGGAGGAGCACTTCAGTAAACACAAGAGTGACCTTTCACTGTATTTATGGAAGTACGAGAGTACTATTGCGGTGTTGTTTGCTCGGTGTGAATTTCAACAGTGGCTCGGCTGCTTTGATGACATCCTCACAGCCTTCGGTACCATTTATTATTTAGTGTTCATTTTAAGCTTCCCTTACTTATCATCAATAATTTATCCTCAACAGTTTTATTGGCCGTATGTCCCGTTGAGTATCTTCAGATTTGATGACAACTGAAAATTCATAAATCACACTTATATGCAAACACACAAATAATTTCATTCTGGAAAAAAAAACATGTTTTGTTTTTTTGTTTTTGTTTTTTTTGTGATGTCTCCACAGAGGCGACCCAGTGATCAAGTGATTTTTACATCTGCCTTGCAGCAGAGAGGCTCTGGGTTCGAATCTTGGCTCTCCTGTGAATGTCTTTCTTCCTCATTCCAAAAAACATGCATGTTGTTTGATTCAGAGAAGACAAAATGCGAACATGAGTATGAGTGGTCGCCCGGTCATTGGCTGGTGACCAGTCCAGGGTTTGCCACGTCTGTCACTCAGTCAGCTGAGCGAGGCTCCAGCTCACCTGTGTGGAGTAGCCAAAAACTCAAGTACGAATACCGGTACTTTAGAATATGACTCAATTACAAGTAGAAACTTGTCCCTCAAAAAAATCACTTGAGTGAAGAATTATTCAGTTGGAAAAAATGCCACATGCTGCACAGAGTGCATCTTACCTGGCAAAAAAGGAGGCCGCAGACAAACCGGTGCTGTGTGACGTGGTGGTGGTCGCCGCAGTATGTGAGGGTGAGTTTGTGTGTGGTGTTGAGTTGGTGTGTGAAGGGGAGTGTGTGTTGTAGCGGTTCAGGGCAGCCTCGGTCAAGCCTTCCCTGGACGCCTCAGACACCATCTGGGAGATCTAATTTAGAGACAACAGAGAAATTAAGGATGAGGAAAGTTCATTTCGATCACAACCACTGTAAGAGAATTATGTTTTGATGCTTGAAAATTAATTGAACAAAACACCAACAACTAAGATTTAAAGACTTCATACTAGGTTAATAAAAAAAACTTGTGACAGCAGGAGTCAATGTTCTGACAGATCGACCCAGACTTCCTTAACTAATCACTTTAGCAAATATTTAATGAAATGTTGAAGGCTCATTTGCTCCCCTGAACGCTTTTTCCGCTTTTATGTATATGTTGGTAGTCACTACGCTGTTTCCAAGGCAACTTGAGTGATTGTTTTTTTTTTGCTTTGACTTGTGAATACATGTGAATGTTTAGACATAGACATACTGTTTACCTTAATGCTAACAAACAATGCGAAACCCCATAGACGTTGGCGATGTTATAATCCTTTAAGCAAAAGATATTTGAACACAAATGATGGAGCAACACATGTAGACAGACTAACAGCACTCACAGACACATTGTTTTTATCCTTTGTGAAAAATGACTAATATTACTGCATCTTACTAAGTCAGTTGTGTAATTAATCTCTGTGTGTATTATATGGCTCCCAGGTAGTCAAGGCGCGCTCGCTAAAAAAATTGAAGTTAAAATAAATGTGGTAAAAACTGTTATCACTGTGACAGTATCATAGGGTGATATTTTTTCTGATTAAAAACCATTTTTGTTTTAGTTTTTTTTTTTTTTGTGAGTTTGAAATGGATTACTGGCAATTCCATTCATTTCGATGGGAAAGAGAAACTGTGAAATTAAAATCTTATCTCAGGACACCACTGTATTCCAAACAGCACAATGAAGATTGTTTTCTATTGACAAATGATTTTTTTCAGTTATGTCTTAAAATGTATTCAAATCAGTCGCTGCAAGATCTCAAATGATTGCTGCCACAAGGCTGATATAAAGTGCACGCACGCGCGCGCGCGTGTGTGTGTGTGTGTGTGTGTGTGTGTGTGTGTGTGTGTGTGTGTGTGTGTGTGTGTGCGCGCGCGCGCGCATGCATATTTATTGCAAAAAGGTTCACAGGGTCCAAGCATGCAGCTCGCTTGTCTTGATAAATCACCTCTCATAAATGAGATGCCTCTATAGTTTATACCACACTCCTCTCTGCATTGATGCCCATTTCCAGTCGCTCGCTGAGCTTTCCAGTACTGCATTATTAAAGCAGTGGTGACCACTTATTAGAAAACGGGCGGAAGGCCAGCCAGCAAAAGTCCATTCATCTTGTCAAATGAGAAGAAGGGAATTTACAGGAGTGTGCTAACAATGTATTGATCGTCATTTGTAAATGTACGATATTGCACAGATTGGGTACCTGTGCGGAGTGAATGTCCTCTGCACTCCAATCAAGTATAAGAGTAGCAAAAATGTTAAGTGAACATAACATCCATCTATCCATCCATCAAACCCTGCACCTCTGCACTGTGAGGTTGACGTGCCACCATAAACATAACAAGAAACATATAATTGGCTGTAGATGGCCAAGGGGTTTCAAACTGTGCATCCATTCGAGTGTTTATGATACTGTCTGCCATACATGTAAAGATGTTCAACGTTAACTCGCCACAGCATTTTGACCACTTCCACAATCTAATGAGAACCAGCAAAGAGTAGGATGCAGTACAGTGTACACCACTGCAAACTGCGATCACAACAATAAATCTTTGAACTGCAGCGATCCTTTAAAATGGCCCAATACAGTTGGATATCATGTTACATTATTTCAGATGGACATTGTGCAGATGTACCAAACGTGAGCCCCCACTGGATTTGATGTATGTGACAACGTAAGGAACATTTGAGGTTCAATAGAGAAAAAAAAAGCATGCTTATTCTGTCAACCTTCCTCCTATACTGTTCTGTTCTTCTCTTGGTTAAAAAAAAAAAAAAAAAAAAAAACAGGGTAAAACTGCACTCGTTCGTCTTCGTGATGAGCCAACCTCCATTTCCTAAACATTCACCTTTCTCATCTGTCTCTCTTAAATATATTTTTACTCTCCCACTTGTTTCCAAAAGCAGGCCATGCTGTCAAAACCAAAAAATCCGGACTGAGATTTAGCATGAAGAGTAATGCATCTGCATTTGAGTGGTATTGTCTGCGATTATCAGGGGAGATGGGAGATTTTTTTATAGAGCACCGGGGCACCCCGACGTCTCTTCCATTTACAGAGAAAGTTGCAGTGCGCAATCACACATCGTGGCTCAACTAGACATGCTGAGGAGTATGCAAAATACCCGGGAGATGCGAAAGAGAGGCTTGGGTCGCCAATCTTAAAACACGTCAACTGAGGCGACAAGATGTTTTCATGGAAGCAAGCAAAAAACACGATGCGGCAGTCGAAGCGAACTATGTAGTGAGATGATTGCAGGGGCGGCCGGGAAAGCCATTCAAAGAACGGCTAGTTTATTAAAAAGGTAATGTTACAGGCTGCGAGTTTAGTCTCTCTGAAAAGGAAGGGTCACTTTAGCAAACTTTGAGCCAACACAAAGACAGAACTGACCTGTCAGGGAACATATCAACAGTGTGAGAAAGCCAAAGATTCTCGTGCAGCATTGCTCGCACTTGATGGGAGCAAAGACATCACTGACACCGCACAGCTCGCAATGTATGTCCGTGGTGTTGATGATCATTTTAAGTCATGGTGGAGGTTGTTTTGTTTTTTTCTGTCATAGGGGTTTGTTTGTTTGAGTTTGAGTTTGGGGTTTTTCCAGTCCTTTATTTACGTTATGTATTTCATTTTTCCAGTGTGCCCCTGTAAGTGTTTTTGTTAATATATTTGGTTCAGTACACCCTGCTTCTCCTGCCTCCCTGCTCTTTTGGTCCCCTACCATCACGTACCATGACAGGTGTAGAGCAGGCCATTGATCTACACTGCATGATCCATCAGCGGGCCCTTTGCAGCAACAAGTTTGATCTTGCCTGTCTGTCATCATGAAATGTATTGACCATTTCATCATATAGATCCAGGGGCTTAAAGCACTGGCGGTTCCACTTCCTTTTGGAGGAAACAGAGTCAGCATATAACGACGTGCTTTACTTCAGTGAGGTAAATTGGCTCAGGGGAAACATCTTGAGGGTTTTTTTTTTTTGAGTTGATAGGAGAAAAGTGAAGGCCTTCATGGAGAACAGCAGAATGACTGTTGCTGTGCTAAATGATACCAAATAGCTACTTTTGAGTTTTTATGACTGACATCAGACAGTAACTGAATGTACTGAATAAAAAGTTGCAAGGCCAATGCAACTTGTCACACTGTCAGAACAAAAGTACAAGACCGAACTTACTGATAACCATCTTCTAACCTTTTGATGATAGAAAAGTTTGGAGCGGTTGCACTTTTTCTGGAATACGTGATGCGGCCCAGCCTCACCCAGATTCCAACTCCAGCGGCCTCCAGGTAAGTTTTGTTTGAGACCCTTGCTTTTATTGTATGGCAACGTGTGTACAAGGACTGCACAGAATTCTGAACAGTGAAGTTAACAGTGATGGGCGCGCCGACATTAATGACTGGAGTCCTGACTGCTCCGCCAGTATTGTTGACCACTAAAATTCCTGTCTACAAACACTGTTCAATCAAATTTTACAATCATTTGCCATTATGACATCGTTCCATGTCAACATAATGGTACAATGCTGAGAAAAATATATTTAACACGAACCCAAGGGACTGCATTTTAAAGTCTACGAACAAAATGTCACTTTTCTTGCCTTTATGAACACGTGTCTCCCTCAGCATCTCTCCACATGACTTTGTTGCGAGCTCTTCCCAGATTCCACTTGACAAAGTGCCTTTCCATCATCACCGCTGGCAGCTCCTCCCCCTTTTGCTTCCCGTCTCTCAGGGGTGTGAGACTAAACACGGGTGAGTTATGATCCTGCTCTCCTCTTCTTCTCCTCTACTGCCGAACCGCCATTACTGTCAAAATTTACAGCAGGAACACGGACATTGCGCACCTCCCACCAGACACAAACTCTAACAAAGACATGCACCACGTTGAATGCAGTCTATGTATCAAAACCGAACACTCACACGACCCTTCTTGAGGTACAGTGCCAGAGAGAAAATAATTGAACAAGACGTTTCCCTACTTGAAGGTGGAGAGAGGCTACCCTCTCGCCCATCGAAGTGAACCACAATGCACAGGAACCAAGTCGGGGAGCGATAAGTATTCCCAAACCTGCTCGGTGCCTCTCACCTTGAGCAACTCCAGAAGAGAAGAGTGTGCACCCCACTTCAAGAGGACTGGTACCAGAGCCTAAGCTGTGCGTGGAGGCAAGCCTGACTCTACCGACTTGGAACTTCTGTGCTAGAGTTAGTTTCCGTAGCCAAGGTCCCCCCGCCTTTTGCCACAGGCGAGCTCATAGGGCCCCGACCCATTTGGCCCCTCCCACAGGTGGTGACCCCATGGGAAGGGTGACCCATGTTGCGTTTTCGGGCTGAGCTCCACCCGCATGGGTGCAGGCCAGGCCACCAGGCGCACTGCCAGCGAGCCCCACCTCCAGGCCTGGCTCCAGAGGGGGCCCCTGGTGACCCGCGTCTGGCCAAGGGAGAACGTGTTCCAAATTTCTCAATCATCATCAGGGATCTCTGAGCCATGCTTTTTCTGGTCTCTCACCTAGGACCTGTTTGCCATGGGTGACCCTGCCAGGAGTCTAAAGCCCCAGACAACTTAGCTCCGAGGATCCTTGGGACACGCAAACCCCTCCACCACGGTAAGTGACGGCTCATTTGGGCCACATGACAAAAAAGGACAATTTGATGACAAGAATAAAGTCACAAAATTACAAGAATGAATAAAAATATATTTTTTCATACATTTTGTGTCTGTGAAAGTTGTAATTGACAATCAAGTCAGAATTCTGAGAAGTTAACAGTAAATTAATATTGTACCCCAAAACAGTGCAAGAACTGAGACGCAGTCATCAGTTCATAAGAATATATGTCAATGTTTTGACGTACATGTTTGTAATTTGACAAAATCCAAATAATTTGTTCGTTCATCTAAATAGAAATGTTTTGACTAAATTTCCAACACCCAATGACAATTTGGTAGATGTTGAGAAAAAAAAAGAAGCCGAGGACATTTTGGCATTCACTTAAAAAGTCCAACATAATTCTCAATACATTACAAGTTTACTTGTATTATCCCATCTTTTTTTATAAAGGTATATGGTTTGATAACCAGATGAAATTTTGCATGAACTTTTATAGTTTTTCTCTAATTCTGTTTTGTACTTACTGTCAGTCAACATATATAAAGACCAGCGATGACCAGCCGGCTAAATCTCACCATTTTTTTTTTTTTAAGATAACCCAATCTCATTCAAATCCTGTACTGAATATCAACTGCAGAAGTATGGAATGCAGTGGCGAGATTTAATTAATATGAAGCAGATAGCGTTTGAGCAAGACAAGAAAAATAGGCATACGAAGTAAGGGCAGAAAAAAGGGTGGGTGCATCGATGTGTGTGTGAGAGACAGCGGATGAGTGTAAAACGAGTGTCTTACCAGGGGGTGTGACATAGAATCCCTAGAGTTCTAATTATCGCTGTATGAATTATTACATCTGTAGAACACGTTTGCATTCCCACACACACACACACACACACACACACACACACACACACACACACACACACACCTCAGGATCTCCCCTGGAGTCGCTCACACACACCTTTGGACTGCTCATCACTGCAGGCCTTCTTCCTCCTCTCCCCTTATCTATTCTTATTCCCTCTCTTCCTGTCTCCCCTAAACCATTTCGGTATCTTGTGAAATCTCTCAAATTATATTTATAACAGTCTCCAGTGGTATTGGTGACAAAAAAAAATGTTAGTGTTGATTAGACATGGACTTCAGGTCCAATTATGAATCCTCATATCGTAATGTGTATGTTTATAATACAGCTTTCAGTGTGATTAAACCTACAACCATAAACATATTGTTAATCGAATGCTTGTCTGTTAGTGTTCATCAAAACTGAGTAATCTTTTATAATACTGGACAAAGCTCTTAGTAATGGATCCAATGAAGTGGTCAGTGAGTGCATTTAATATACAGTTAGAGAGAAAAGCATAGAGGGGGGGGGGGGGCGGGGGGAGAACGAAAGGAAAAGACACTGTAAAAATGACAAGCATGTTGTCAGTTGTATCATGAGTGCATACGCCATTAACTAATGAATCCCAAATGCAAAGACATTAAATGTCACTCTTCTTTGCATGCCAAGAGCGGATTATCTCCCCACTATTGACATTGGCTGAAATCATGGGAGCCAATACATGATTGAGCTAATTCCTCCATCCATGTACACAACCGTGTAGTCTCACAATCACGATTATGGACACACACGTGTCAAACTGAAGGCCCCTGGGACCGATCTGGCCCGCAAAGTCATTTTATGTGGCCCGCGAAAGCAAATCAAGCATGTCAACCTCCATGATGCTTGCTAAAATCTGAACCAACATTTCAAATTGTCATATTTAATAAATAATAACTCTGAGATATTGCAAGCGTTTTCTCGTTATGTTATTACAGGGGTGTGGTGACCATCGGAATTTTGGGTAGATTCCTGAATGGCTCGTCCACTTCGGGATGAAATTGTCGCGCATCAAGGCCGGTCGGTACACAAACGGCCCCCTGAGGGAAGTTTTAACTGAAATGTAGCCCGTCACAAAAATGAGTTTGACACCCTTCAGTCTGATCCTTGAGAGGCCCTGTCGAGCCTATAGATGTCTGCCTCCACCACACCTTATTTAAATGATCAGACTTGTTAACATGCTTTTAAAAAGATGATCATGAGCTGATCATTTGAATTAGGAGTGTTGGAGGAGGGACACATCAGAACAATCTGGATAGGAGCTCTTGAGAACTGGACTTGGGCCCAGGCTCCACTCTAATATGCGCCTTGCCAACTACTTGAACAATTAAACGCCTCTTGAGGAAAAAAGAAACAGCTTGTTATGAAAGCAGCATCAGAAACTTAAGAAGGGAATAATTTGTTCCCCATCCAATTTGCAACGCATTAGTAGCTAGGAACCAAAAATAGATGTTTCGAAAGTAATGCGAGTAATAATTCTCTGTCAACCAATCAACAAATATTCGTTTGTACGCCTGCCTGAAATAAAGCATTTGAACAAGTCCTCCTCTCAAATTAAAGGCCTTGTCCTGTCTGAGCTTGAATAAATGAAGGCCATTAGCCATTATTTGAAGAATTAGGGTAACTCTCAAGATAGCCTACCTGGTACGGATAGAGCGTAACTCCTCCATTAGTTCTGTTCAAATGCTGCTGACCTGCTGTGTTGTTACTGCTGTTCGTACTGCTATTCCCTGGACTGTTTACTGCACTCACAGTTTGCTGTTGGGCCAAGGCCGTTTTTGCAGAACCAGGCGACCCGTTCCGTCTTTCCATCCCACCTCCGAGCCCCAGTGAGCTGGGTTTGGAGCCCAGTCTGTGCACTTGTTGGTTCAAGGGTGTACAGGATGCCGTCTGTCCAGCAGAAGGACTCCCGTGACCAGGGGCGGACAGTGCGTGGCTGGGGCTTGGTGTCGGGGTCTGGCTGAGACTCGGGGAAGGTGACGGCGATGAAGGACGTGTGAGGTGTGAAATGGCAGCGGCGGACGACGAGGAAGAGGAAGGGAGCAAAGAGGAGGGCCATTCTCTGGATCCGGAAGCTCCCTGGGATGCGTAGCGCCCAAAGAAGGGAGGAGGCGACGAAGAGGGAGACAAATCCCACTGGTCCAGTGTGAGCACCAAGCGCACTGCTTCCTGTTTGAGCTGCGTGAGGTGAGTGGCGCACACGTCACAGCGACTGTCATGCTCGTTCCATGCCCGCCGGGAACTGTTGGGGAATTGCAGCTTATCATGGAGGAGGAGGGGGAAGGACGGGTCCTAGGGGAGGAACAGGGAAACACAAGATTTTAGGCCGTAGCACAATGAGTTGCAAAAATTCGACTTTATTTACTTTATGACTTTCAGGACACTGCGGCCTCATAGTCATCGCTAATGTAGTGGCTCATTAGCATGACTTAAATGCACTCAGCGTGGGTTCAGTTCCCACTCCGTGACGGTGCGAATGATGCTTTTTTCTACATGCCAGCTGGGATCGCCTCTGCCACTCTAAACAGGATAGGCAGTATGTAAAATACTCACTTGTTGCAGCACACCAGAGACATCCTGTTCAGACGGAACATGTCACTACATCATCAGCGAGGAGTCTCGGCAGTAAGAAATGAATCAAATTGATGAACTCTCCGTTGAAGTCCGATCAATAAGTGACATATTGAGATTCACTTCTGTGAGCATATCGTCAATAGGCAGATAATCTGCACGGATGGCCTTGCATTCCCTCTTGCACACATCCATCAAAGCAACGGCTGATGAAGCGGTAAACCAGGCAGAAAGCAGATCAGACAGTGAGTGACTTGGGCCTGCGGAATGAAGCCACTAGCCAAGCAAGGCAAATAGAATGAAAAAAAAAACATCTTCAAACAATTTGATGATGAATTAGCATTCAGACAAGTAAGATTGACAAGAGGTGATGAAAAACCCCCATTCAGCTACGCTTGTTAACTGACTGTTGTAGGGCACCCATTGGAATATTGTGGTCCCACAAACAATTTGGCCGTCTAACGATTCGGAATTTAGTCTAACGGTCCAAATGTACAAAAACAATCCGGTATGCCAAAGGTCTCCATTGGCGGTGCCCATTCAGTAGATCTCCAGCTACCAGTAGCTCGCGAAGGGAGTTCGTAGCTATCAATCACTCCCCGAGCCAAGATTTTAACTTTTGGACAGTGAGGCAGACACGCAGACGATAACCACGCTGCAGTCCAAATTTTCAAATATTTTTACACCTCCAGAGGCAAGCCCTTCCAGACCCAAATGAGTTTTCCGTACTGCAACTGTTTATGGGGTGAATCTCAGTCTTGGTGGCCTTTTGGTATGGCAAAGTGTCCATGACATACACTGTCTGACACAGACAAGCGGGCATCTATTAATAAAGGACCTCATACAGTTTCGCACTCGATCAATACAGCCTGTGTGTGTGTGTGTGTGTGTGTGTGTGTGTGTGTGTGTGTGTGTGTGTGTGTGTGTGTGTGTGTGTGTGTGTGTTCGCACAAGGCTGCATTTCATCTGATGGTAAAAGGTAGCCTCTCAACCAGAGAGCTGCCTGTATCAACAAACCACAGGTACACAAACACACACACACACACACAAGATGTGCACTGGGATAAAAAGTGCCTTGTTACTGAGACAAACTGACAAGAAAATAAGTTTTAAACATTGACATACGAGCCGGCAAGTGTCCAAGCACGCCTAATCCTGACTGGCGTGACACACCACACATACATTCATCCGGCATCTCGAGCTGACTGGCGCACGGCAGAATTGCCCATGATAGTCATGAATGTATGTCTTGATTTTTCACTGTAGGCTCAATAGTTTTTCTGTGGATGTGCGAGATAAGCACAGACAGTATACTATCAGTCGACTTTAGATTTGTCAGTATTCTCGCAGTCCTTCTAGCCTGGAGAGGCTGGAGTCTATCCAAGCTGATTTGGTGCAGACTATCTACCAGTCAATCACCGGGTGCTTCTGAATGGGGCATTGAGTCGGAACTGGCACCACACCCACTGCACTAAAGTCTGCAATGTCAACTATTATTAAACCAACAGGCCATTTTTCCCATGACAAAAATGGGTGTGACACCCCTGCTGTAGGTGACTCCATGGGTAATATTGGTATTATCTTTTTTTGCACTAGTGGAGAACTACACTACATATGCTTCGGCGAAATATGTTGATTTAACAGGTGTACCTCAAGTTGTGGCCAGTGGAGAATAGTGCAAAACTGAGTATTTATTAATGGGGTCTTCAGTGTACAACCATACCTATTTTTTTTGATATCTTGACCATTTTTTTCAATGACCCTGACTTACACGACCAAGAAAACCTGGACTCGTATGTGTTTACTGCAATACCAGAGTGTGTGGTGTACTCGCAATGACCATTACAGACCATCACACACAACCACTATGTCTACTGACAATTGCCTTACTCTCTCAACTAACTGTAGACTTTCCTGGTAACTACTTTGCGGTTGCAAACTCTTCCACTTGTCACTTTTTATTGTTAGAATGACTTGGATGACTCATTAAACAAACTCTCAACACAACTAGCTGCCCATCTACTGGCAAGAGCACGAGCTTTGGGTTCCTTCCTAATTGGCTATCCTTGTGTTATACGTCACAATCATGGCGTCGGCTGCCTCAGCCACACTCTTGAATGGGTTTAGCCTTGACGACTGTCGGCTTGTACTGTTTCTGAGCAGACTGCCGAGAAAAAAAAAAAAAGACTGAAGACAGCCCACACTACAGGGTAATAGCTCAGGATAATCTTTTAGAGACATCAGACAATTGAGCCTTTCCTGGCTTTAGCTGCAAGGGGGATGCTCAAATCCAAACCTAGAAACAACTTGCCTCAAGAAATAATTTGCTGACAACTAGTGTGTAATGCTTTTGTGATTTAACAACTGAAAATAACGTTCCAATAAATAGCAATTGGTTCGCCAGTCTTTCCTTATTGGTGGAAGGAATTGACAGTTCTGTAGAAAAAGGAACATTTAATGTAGTTTGACTTCTCTCCTTGCTCATATCAGCCATTCTCTCTCTCTCTCTCTCTCTCTCTCGCTCTCGCTCTCGCTCTCTGACACACGCACACACTGAAGGAGCAAAGAAGTGGACATGCTGCTTGATGCGTGAATTGAGGGGCCTTATTGTACCAAATTAGAGAGAATGGAGTGGCAACCAAGCTCCCTGATTTGAAAAAAGGAACATGAGAGGTGTGGGCTAGGTGGTGGAGGTGGACTGTGGGGGTGGGAGGTTGTTCATTCTGGGTGTAAGAAGCATTTAGTGTGCACTGTTCACAAACATTTCATTTCACTGAATTCTCTCTCCTATGCGCTTCTCGATTTCCCCTATCCACTCAAATTCGGTTTAGTCTCTTACTTTTGCAAACAGTTGTAACTTTATAGATTAGCCTGCTTTCCGCCGGTACAAATACCATCATTAGCCCCGTAACATGTTGTTATGTTTGCGGACAAGCTCCAGCTCAATTAGAAGAAAAGCTATTTGATGGGAGGATGTGGGCAATTTTATTTCCCGAAGACGATGCCAAATTGTCTTTAAAACCTGATAATCGGCCCCATTACCTCATTAAAAATATTAGCACAGCGGTGGCTAGATAAGAATGTCTTCTTGAGAATGAGTGTGCTGCCTGTTCCCTCCACTCCCTTGTCAGTCTTCCAGCCATGCCGCTCGTCTTCGAGTTCATCAGTATTCCAAGAGCGACGCCATCAGTCTCGCCGCCCGATAGGCGATGTGTGCGCCTGATTCATTTCCTCCGACAGGGACGGACAAACACGATGTGTGCAGGACGTGAGGGAGTGACAGAAAAAAATGTTGTGAGGCCGAAAAGGCGGACGGAACATTGACCTCAGTGACTTGTGGTTCGGTGACAATCACTCTATGCAACGCCGTGTGCATGTTTGTGCGTGTGTGCCCGTGTCGACTTGGCATAAAGGGATACTAAGATTTGATGGGAGATGTCAACTTGGTCATGTTACACCCTCAATATTTTTCTACAAGTGTGCACACCGTAGATACACTCAGTATTTCAAGTATTTGGACTGTCAATCAAAACCCAACACACACTACGGACACACATACTGACTTGCAGCCTTTACCAGAGTGCAATGGATCACAATCCATGACATTTCTGCAGAGGCACAGTGAGGTAATATGCTGACTTCACGTGGGATCTCACAAGACGTCAGTTGAGTGTCAAATGATTCATGCTAAGTTTATGCTTTTTGTTTGGCATTTTATGGCTTTTTTATGACAACAATTTATGTTAAAAGACATTAGGTGAAGTAAGCAGAATCACATTCTTAATCCAGCAGTGTCCTAATACCTTTGCATGGCATCAAAATCAACATACACTGAAGAAAATTTTGTTAAATTGACTCCATTTTATTTCATCAAGTGGTTGCAAAAAATAAAATCATCTGGATCCAGATACATTTTTTAAAGCAGGTATTACGGAAAATGTTTAAGTCGATTTTTTTAAGTCGACATCTACTCTGGCAATCTGGACAAACTGAATGTAGTAAAGTGGGGAGTTTTGTGATATTGGTGCAGAGCAGGGATGAATAGATGAAAGGAGAGAGAGAGAGAGAGAGAGAGAGAGAGAGAGAGAGAGAGAGAGAGAGAGAGAGAGAGAGAGAGAGAAATCGGATGGATGATGAGGATAAAAGTTTGAAAAACGAAAAGTGGGAAGGCTTGGGGACATAGTGAGGGGATAAAAGGGAGATGGCTCAATAAAATAGCCCAGTCCTATGCTCAACTTTACCCCATGCATGGGGTGAATTTGTGCCTTTTTGACAGGCTATATCACCAAAACTGCTATGTTCACGTTGAATCTGCTTGTTTATAGGGGCACGATGTCGCACATGCCCGGAACCGCCACTGGTTTTGGTATTAGATGACGTTTGTAATGCTAGTGTGAGTGCAGCCCTCAACCGTTAAATCCTTTTGTGTCTCTTCTTCTTCTCATCACAAAGAAAGGAAGAATAGAACAAAAATTCAGATTTAGAAAAGCAAAAAGCATCAATGTGTGTGTGTGTGTGTGCGTGTGTGCGTGTGTGTGTGTGTGTGTGTGTGTGTGTGTGTGTGTGTGTGTGTGTGTGTGTGTGTGTATATACACAATATAATCAGTTCCAAGTGAGTGACCAAGGAAGGCAACCCCTCTGTTTCCCCTCCAAAACTCATTTAGCTCCCATCATATCATATATATTCGCTTTCATGCGCTGGATGATATGCACACATGAAG